ATATAATTGATGTCACTGAATTGTACATGTAGAAATTTTTGAAATGGTGTATCTTTGGCTATGTATATTTTCACCAAAAAAAAAAAAAAAGTGCTCCAAGTTAGAGAAGGGGGAGTGTTGACATGCTGTAGGGTTGTTAACCAATGTCATAAATCAATATGTGTACTGACTGTATAATGAGAAACAATTTGTTCTGTAAACCTTCGTGTAAAGTATAATAAAAATTTTTTTTTAATTTAAACCCCAAAGTAAATGTTTATCTATTTATATAGTTGCATACTTGAAACTTAAGAAAAATAAAATGTATTCCATGAAACTGACATGATGCATATCTTGTATATTACTGGTTTTCCAAACCAGAGAAAGCCTTTCTCCCATAACAACATTAGCATATGAAGAAGGTTTGTCCACCCTGAATAGAATGCTAGATGACTTCTTCAGCTTTGGTGAAATTACTTTGGTAAAATTAGGAAATATAAGGCCCCAAATAAGTTTGACATTTGGGGGAAAAAAAAGTCTTAAAACTTTCACTTTTTGTCCTACACACCCAAAGAGAAATAGTCAAATACAAATGTGTGTTTACAATTGTCTGTTTTAATATATGGAAACCTTAGATTTTCCCCATAGTTTTAAAGGACAGTCTACACTTACCTGGCCCATCTGTCATTTTTTCCCAGCACCGAGGAGCTGCACTAAGAAAGGAGGAATGTTTTCTTTTAGCCACCAAACTGCGGGGTGGCATGTATTTTTGTTTACCCTGTGACACTTCATACGATTTTTGAACATCATAGCTGCCTGGTGGTGGAATATCCTGAAAAAAATTCAAATAGATGAGCATAAACAATCTTACATAGAAAATATTCCAGAAGATATTGAATAAATGTTTACATTAAGCAACAGTATAAATAAAATATATAAAAACACTCTAGTTAATCTTTAAAATAGAAACTTAAAAGACGGTCACTAAATCTGTGCCCTTCTAATAAAAATATAAATTCACTTGTCGAAAAATAGGTAAAATAAACATAAAATCCATATTCTACCAAAAAATTAGCCTTTACAACATACAGCAAACTCCCATTTTCAAATTTAATAACATAAATCAAATTTCATACAGGAATGACAGCAATGATTATTTGCTTCCATAAAGCAACAGAACTATTCCAGTTTGACTGTTCTATGTAAGCACACTTAACTTATTCTACAAAATGATTGTTTATTTCATTTTTAATAGATTCCAATTAAGTTAAAAGGCTTTCCCTTTCATCATTTATGGCTCTTTATATGATTTGCAATTATATTAAACTTGCTAATCAACATGAACCAACATGGATATTAATAATTACAATAATAATTCTGAACTAAATTAAATATAAAATACCATATATTTGTTGCACAATTAATCCTTAAACCACTAGCTAATTATCTCAATGAAAATTTTTAAAAATTATTTTCCTCAAATTTATGTTAAATATAACATAATCCATTCTTTTGAAAACTATTCATTTCTATTATGCATAAAAACCAAAACTACTTGGATTTTAATTATTTCCTCATTGGCAGGATAATGTTTTGGCTGAGTATGGACTTCAGCACTACACCTCCTAGGTTCCAAATATCTGCTGCTTACTACCTGTGTGACCTTGGGTCAAGCCACTTAACCTCTGTGATCCTCAGTTTCCTTATCTGTGCTGCTGCTGTTGTTGTTTGTTGCCATTGAGTCAATTCCAACTCATGGCAACTGTGTTAGTTATCTAGTGCTGCTATTAACAGAAATAACACAAGTAGATGGCTTTAACAAACAGAAATTTATTCTCTCATGGTCTAGGGGCTGGAAGTCCGAATTCAGGGCACCAGCTCCAGGGGAAGGCTTTCTCTCTGTTGGCTCTGCGGGGAGGTCCTTGTCATCAATCTTCTCCTGGTCTAGGAGCTTCTCAGCACAAGGACCCCGGGTCCAAACGACACACTCTGCTCCTGGCACTACCTTCTTGGTGGTATGATGTTCCCTGTCTCTGCTTACTTCTCTCTTTTATATCTCAAAAGAGACTGACTCAAGAGATAATCTAATCTTGTAGACCAAGTCCTGCCTCATTAACATCATAGAGGTAGGATTTACAATACATAGGAAAATCACATCAGATGACAAAATGGTGGACAATCACACAATACAGGGAATCATGGCCTAGCCAAGTTGACACATATTTTTGGGGGACACAATTCAATCCATAACAGTGATCTTCATCTATAAAGTGGAGGAAATAATAGTATTTATGTCATAAGGTTGTTGTGAGGATTAAATGAGTTAATACATGTAAAATACTTAAATTGGGACCTGATTCTATGAAAAGTGTTACCTAATCTTACTAGTCTATAAAAGCAAAATGCAAAAACAAGGTTGAACATGAAGACAATAGATAAATTTGGATACTGAGAAAGCATGCTTTTGAAGCTCCTCTAGGAGCTATACTTTATAAAACATGCTTTCTGCTATTTCTTACATCCATAGACCATCAACACTATTTTCCACTTTCAAAGAATCACTAATTATGGTAAGAGTACTGATCATGACTAGCACAGGAGATTCTTACATAAGATCCCACATTTCAACTAAGAAATGACAACAGCTGTTTTCCTCTTGCCTTCATTAAGAGTGTATATATATATAGTAAGGGTAGTCTGGATAAGTAAAACTGTAGCAGTAGTTCCATAGATGACATGTGTATCTTTTTAAGCTGTTTCTGTGGTTACATGAAAGAAAGTGGAAGAGAGGGCAAAAGCATAAAGAGTGAGTACAGGATATGCTCAGAGCTTCCATAGGAAAGTTTTGTGAAGATCCTGACTGTCCATACTATAAATTTTAATTTTGTTATCAGGAGCTATTATTCTTACTGCTTCCCTTAACATCCTGCCTGGTGTCACCACCAGTGCCTAGACTAGACATGATTGATGGATTTAGTTACCGCCACAAAGAAATCTTTTTTTTTTTTTTTTTAATGTCTAGAAGCAAAGGTAACAAACTGCATCAGTAATGATTTTTCTTCAACAGTAGTTTGTTCCTGCTTATGAAAATTTATCAAACTCGTTGCCATATTTCCAATAGATTCATTGGCTCCTCTGTCAACTGAATATGGATTATCCTTGTACCTTTTTCGTGACCTCCTCTTGTTATAACATAGTTATGCTTCTCTGAAAGCTTATTCCCTGCTTGTCTCCTTTATTGATGTTCCTGGTCTCTTCTCATTCTCTTCAATTCTCATTTTATCTGACCAAGAGATTAATATTTCAAGTATATATTCTAGAATAATGATTAGTAAGACAAATCTAAACTGGTTAAGTAAAGATACTAACCAGATATTTAAAAGAAAAACTCCTAGTACTTTAAGAACTAGTCTTTAACAAAGTAGCATAACTTAAACAATGCCTATCTAAAGTACTGTAAATGAGGAGTACCTACCATTTCAGGGGAAAATAGCGTATGTGGATAGGATCATCCTCTGTTGGTGATCTTTTATAAATCACAGAAAATGAGAACACATGGCACATGAAGAGTGGCTACAATAGGCATTTCTCATGACTTTATTTTTTAATGCCAATATTTGAATCCCCTTCCTGGGTTTGGAAAATTCCATGTTATGCAGCAGAATCTGTGTCCCAATACAAAAGTTAAAAATGCCTGATTTTCATCTTCCTGGCCTCATTTTTAGTTAGGACATGAATCTAGGTCATAGACCTAAACTTTCATCTTTGAACTAGAAGTCAGTTATTCAAGGAAACAGAGCCTTAAAAATTCCACTCTAGGGAGGGAACTAGCAGTGCTGCCAGCTATGTCTAGTTCCCAGAGGCAACAGTGGGAAGACCATCTGAAAGAGGCAATTAGAGTCTCCAGTAAAATGTCAGAAAAAGTCTGATGAAATAAAAGCTATGCTTCAATGCAAATTAAAAGTAAGTCTAAGGTGTCCTGATTTTCTCAGCTGGAAAACAAGGACCCCAGCTGAAAAGAATATAGCCATAGAATTAAAATAATTAATGTATGCAAAATTCTTAGAAGGTTGCCTGAGATATAACAAGCACTAGTATGTACTATTATTATATTACCCTCATTAGTACTATGTTTAGCATTATAATTTTTAGGTGTGGGATTATATGAAACCCTCAGTTATTCTCCCTTGCCTGAATAAAGATACTAACTAGATCTTAAAAAAAAACCTCTAGTATTTTAAGCACTCGTATTTAACAAACAAAAAATAAATCAAAGACATTAAGTTGCTGGGAATCACATGAAGACAGTCTCCAGGCAGTTTAAAAAAAAAAAAAAAAATCACCAGCTTCAAAGGATGGCACGTGAGCCTGGTTGTATTTTGGCGAAACCATTTCCTCTCCTTTGTGATTTTATTCATTCTTGTCAAGCAAGAACCCTATAAAATTCTCATGCCCAGTGCCTCTGCATTGTTGTTGTTGTTGTTAGGTGCTATCGAATCGGTTCAACAGAACAAAACACTGCCCGGTCCTGCGCCATCCTAACAATTGTTGTTATGCTTGAGCCCATTGAAACCACTATGTCAATCCGTCTCGTTCAGGGTCTTCCTCTTTTTTGCTGACCTTCTACTTTACCAAGCATGATGTCCTTCTCCAGGGACTGGTCTCTCCTGATAACATGTCCAAAGGATGTGAGACGTAGTCTCTCCATCCTTCCTTCTAAGGAGCATTCTGGCTGTACTTCCTCTAAGACAGACTTGTTTGTTCTTCTGGCAGTCCATGGTATATTCAATACTCTTCACCAACACCGTAATTTAAAGGCATCAATTCTTCTTCAGTCTTCCTTATTCACTGCCCAGCTTTCACATGCATATGAGGCAATTGAAAATACCATGGCTTGGGTCAGGCACACCTTAGTCCTTACAGTGACATATTTGCTTCTGAACACTTTAAAGAGTTCTTTTGCAGCAGATTTGCCCAATGCAATACGTTGTTTGATTTCTTGACTGCTGCTTCCATGGGCATTGATTGTGGATCTGCCTCTGCATTAATCCAATTAAAACTCAAGCTTAGCTAAACTTTAGCCCTATAAACCACCTCCTGACTTCATCTAAATTCAGAATTTCCCCCATCCTTGTTCCCTGATATTTAGACATGTGAAATTTCACGTTCCCTTTGATCTTGGACATGTGAAACTGCACATATATTATCATTTTCCAAATACTCACTATAAACCCCTCAGTCCTAGCAAGGAATGGAGTGTTCCATTCCTGAGTTGTTTCCCATACTGCAGTGTGTTGCAAATAAAGATTGAACTTAAGTGTTAGTTTCAGAATAAATTTTTCTCTTATCATTCTATGGTAAAAGATCTGGGAATGTCATTATTTCACCATCATTTTTGATGACAACTTCAGTGGATATAAAATTCTTGGTTGATTTTTTTTTCTCTCTCAGCATTTTGAATATGTCATTTCACTAATTTCTGGCTTCCATTGTTTCTGATGAGAACTCCACAGTTAATCATATTGTTTCCTCTGTATGTAATAAGTTGTTTTTTCTTGCTGCTTTCAAGATATTCTCTTTGTCCTTTGGCTGTCTGCACATTGACTACTGTGTCTAAATGGGGTTCTCTACATATTTATCTTACTTGGAGGTCATTTAACTATGATGTGTCTAAGAGTGATTCTCTTTATGTTTATACTTGGTATTCATTGAGCTTTCTGGGTCTGTAAATTAACGTTTTTCATTAAATTTGGAAAGTTTTCAATCATTATTTCTTCAAATATTTTTTCTGTTTCTTTCTCACTTGTCCTTCTGTAACTTCCATTATACATA